ATGGAGGAAGGCATTCTTTATATCAAGCTGAAACAGAGGAAGGCATTCTCCTTTAACCCTATTTTATTAAGATCTAAAATTTAATGATGACAAGAATGCCCTTAAGTGGGCGGCCAGCTTGGCAGTTACATAAAGAAAATAAACAAGAATAAATAACAGGCCCATTAAGTGTGGCTCATCAACATAAAATAAAAGATATAACAAGAGATGCTATTAGGGCCCATTTGGCCCAGTCTCTTTACAGGGCACAACCACACACACAATTCTCTCAAACAGCTCATGGTTATCTCTCTTTCCATCTATGACAAAAAAACAATTACAATTTACAGCACAGTAAATATTCTTTTGTTAGTTACATTGTGTTTTCTGGTACAAAATTACATAGTTAATAGTTTAAAATTCAAAATTGATATAAAAAAAAGTAATTTTATAACCAAAAATGCCTTATCTTACCTTTCTCTCAAAAATTAAGAAAATGAATGTTGAAGCATAACAAGAAAGTCAAGCCACAGAATATATATTATGGAGAAAGCATATGATTTGTTGGAATGGAATTTCTTGATTGAGGTGATGAGAAATTGTGGATGTGGTGATAAATTTTTAAGGCAATATGGTGATAGATGGTGCAAATGGGCAAGGAGATGTTTGAAATCATGTCACTATTCCATGTTGGTTAATGGGGTGGTGAAGGATTTCTTTTTAGGCAAGTAGAGGCCAAAGGAAAGGGATCCTTTATCCCTGTTCGTCTTTAATCTAGTGGTGGATGTCTCTAGCAGACTCATTTCCAAGGCAGACAAGGAAGGGGAGATTAGGGGTTGCAAGATTGGTGGCAATAATATTGTAGTCACACACCTTCAATTTGTGGACGATGTCATAATCTTTTGTGAAGGGAGTGAACAAGGGATGTTAGGGCATTTGAAGAGTTAGGTGAAGAAATTTGAAGTTGTATTGAATCTCAAAGTTAATTTTGAAAAGAGTTGCACTGCAAGGATTAATTTAGAGGATAGAGAAGTAGAGGCTATTGCGAAGAGGCTTAAGTGTTCCATATCTAGTTAGCCTTTGGCCTATTTGGAGCTTCCTTTAGGAGCAAATCCCAAGGAGAGTAATTTCTGGTTTCCAATTTTACAAAGGTATGCAAAAACACTAGTAGTGTAGAAGAAGAATTACATTTCTTTGGGTGGGAGAAATACTTTGATTAGACCAACTCTAGCAAACCTGCCATTATATTATTTGCCAGTGTTCAGTATTCCACAGAAGGAGGCTAGGAAGATTGAGAAGGTAATGAGAGATTTCCTAGAGCAACCAAGGGAGGAGAAAGATCACCTATTGAGATGATAGTGACTAAAGACCTAAAGGAGGGAGGCTTGGGTCTAGGTAATGTAAACAAAAATAACGCAGCTTTGTTAGGTAAGTGAGCTTGGGCCACAGTTGCACACACTTCAGTTAGAAAAACCAGAGCCACTACAATTTGGGTAGTTCCCCCAAAAGGATTTTTTAAACTGAATTTTGACAGAAGCTGCCAAGGTAACCCAAGACCATCTGGCATTGGAGGAGTATTGAGGAATGGGAATGGCAACAACATATCCTTATTCTCAGGCCCGATAGGGATAGGGGACTCTACAAGAGCTGAGATATTGGCTGCAATACAGGTAATTCAGATTGCTAATCAACTAGGAGTGGAGAACCTATTGATTGAAGGGGCTAAGGTGATTGTGGGCTGGCTGTCAAATCCAGACTCAGTTGTTCGGAGTTATAGGGATCTCATCAAAAAAGTTAAATGTTTAACAAGGCACATAACATGTAGATATCAGTGGGTGGGTAGGGAGGAAAATGCCTTGGCTGATCATCTTTCTAAACAGAGGTCTACTAGGACCATTTATTCTGGGCAGCATTGCAATTTTATTTCTGATTTCTTGTAATGTTTAGGGGAAGCTGCATCTCGTGCCTCTCCAAGGGATTCTTGTAAAATCTTATTCATTTGTTTAATGAAATCATTTTCAATTATCAAAAAAAAATGAGTTTGGAGGTGGCCTTTGGAGAGGGACAGATTGTGGCATGAGGTTATTGCTAGCATTCATGGCAAGATAAACTCTGGCTGGGATGTAGGAGTGTATTGATGGGCTACCTTGGCCTCACCGTGGAATGCTATTCATGGGTTTCTTCACCAGTTTCTCCAGGTTCATCAGGTATGATGTGTGTTCCAAGGAGGTTGTAAAGTTTTGGGGAGATCTTTGGGTTGGCGTTTCAACTCTTAAGGATTTGTTCCCTTCCCTTTACTCAGTTTCTTTCTACAAAAATGAGTGTGTCTCGGATTTTATTGTTCCTCCTATCCTTCCTTTGAATCACAATTGGGATTTTGGTTTCCAAAAAGGGTTGAGGGATTCTGAAATGGTAGAGTTGAATGAGTTATTGCAACTTCTTGAATCTGTTTGCTTGGGTCCTACCAAACTGGATAGACGTATCTGGGCTCCTCGTCCTAACATCTTTTTTCTTGTGCTTCGCTTTTCAAGTCTCTTTGTTTGTCTTCTCCTCCTCAGCCTTTACCTACTCAGGAGAGTGTGGTGTCAGCCCATTCCTACCAAAAATTGGAACCTTTTGTTAGGAGGTGTACCATGGGAAGATCAACACTATGGACATGCTACAAAAAAGAAGATCGTTCCTATGCTTATCCCCAAATTGGTAAACACTATGTAAATCCAGTGAAAAAAATTGTTAACACTTACTAATAACTTACCCCTTTGCTACAGATATATGGGATTGGCTTTTCTCTTTGTTTGGTTGCAGTTGGTCATTGCCAACAGAGGTAGATAAGCTTTTCTTTCAATCTTTGTTTGGCCTAAAAGGAGGGGAAGGATTTTGTGGGAACGTGCTAGAGCAGCAATAATATGCACTCTCTAGGAAGAAAGAAATAACAGAATTTTCTTAGGAAAGGAGAGATGCATAGAAGTGGTAAGAGAATGCATATCAGTAAGGGTGATACATTGGCTTAGGACCTTGGATTCTTTTTCGTCTTGGTCCTTTGACAATAGTTGGAGAAATTGGGGCGTAGTGGCCAGAAGCTCATCCAAAAAAGGAAAAAAAAAAAGATGTTATGGAACCCCCCAGTTGCAGACATCATTAAACTAAATTTTGATGGGAGCAGTCAAGGCAACCCGGGCCATTCAGGCACAGGGGATGCTGAGAAATAAAGAAGGGATTATCATTACACTTTTTTCTGGTCTTGTAGTAGTTGGGGACTCCATCAAGGTGAAACTGCTTGCAGCTAGAGAGGCCTACTAATTGCAAATGAGATGGGCCTAACAAATGTGGAGATTGAAGGAGATCCAAAACTGGTGATAGGCTGAAGGATCCATGGTCTATAATATGGTGTTCTAGGGATGAGATGAAAAAGTTTAAATGGATAATCAGAAACATGAACTTGAAAATCTCTTGGGTTAGGAGAACAAGTAATGCTACGGCAAATGGATTAGCTAAACAAGGGGTTAATAGAGACAGTTTGTATTGGGCTCAGTTGTAATTATTTTGTTTCTATCTTTCCTAAAGTTTGTGTGAGAGGTAACATCTCATGCCTCTCTGTGTGATGCTTGTAATGTGTATTCTCTTTGATATTTAATAAATACTTTGTTTACTTATCAAAAAAAAAAAGAAATATATATTATGAATTTTGGGATTTGCTAAATAAAATGAGGCCCCAATAGTAGAGATGACTCAAAAATGTCTACAATAGATATTACCTTCTTTTCAACTGAAATTTTATTATCAAAAAATTGTGCTGCCTCTTGTCTGCGCCTCTCAGATTTTGATCTTTCCAACTTGAGCCGACTTGAAGTTGGCTCTGGTTTATCATTTGGTGCCTCCCCAGGCAAAGTATTTGCTCTCTTCAAATTCTTGTCAACAACCTCTGGATACAGAAGATTTGAAGATAGCATAAAATGTTTGATGACTTCTAGTATAAGCAAGTTATCCGGAAACGAATAATACCCATGCATTCCTAACAAGCAACATTTCATTCAGCCTACTTGTACAACTACAAAACACACACATTCTATATAAAATTTTCACTTCATCCACCTATCAAAAAGAAAACATCCACAAGATGCCCTAAAGAGCATGTAATCTTGGGCAGACAGAAAACAAATACATGAACTGTAAAGCAAAATGAAGATAGCTTCAAAAAACACAAGAAACAAAGCATAATAAGATTAGTGGATTCTTACCACTTAAAAATAAAATGTGAGTGTTGCCACGTGTGAATGTTTATGTTCTTTTTAATGTGCAAGGGTATTTTTGTCCCTACACTATTTCTTATGATGTAATGCCCGTCACCCTAATATAAATAAACATTGGGGCACTCATTCTCTTGTCTACTCTTTCTCCTTCTTCTCTTCTGCTTCTCCTCTGATTCCCTAATCAACCAAATGGTATCAGAGCAGGAATACTGATCAGATTCAGACATTCTCCTCTCTTGCAGCATCAAATATTCCTTCAATCCTTCTTTGATTTGTTTCGGGCGACAGTACAGCTTCGACTGATCTGAATTCTGAAGTTTCTTTTCTTCTACTTTTTCTATTTTCCTTGGTCATCGCACTAAGGGTTTTTTTCTGGTCTCCGGCTGCTCATGATGCTTGAAAGGGTGAAAAAAAAAGTTAAAATTTGGGATTTGAGGCCAAAAAAGGGGGGGTTTGGCAAAAAATGGTTGGGCAAGGCACCTTCGGCTCCTTGGGACGCATTGATCTCGAAATGTTACCCCAAATTGATATTAAGATCACCCCAATCAAACAACCGAGCACAAAGTTATGGCATCTAAAAGTTTGCATATACATTTAGTGTGCAACCCGTGACCCCGTGATCAGGTCGAATAGGTTAATGGTTTAACCGAGTCAAACAGTTCTTACCAAGTCAACAGTTTTTTACCAAGTCAACGGTGGGTTGAAAGCATCAGTTGTCACAATTGCCAGCAAGTATTATATGGTGTTCTAAGGTAGTTGCAATAGTGTTTTAAAAGCGCAAGGGGCAATTTGTGCCTAAGGCACAAGGCAAACAAAAAAATGCAAAATAAAATTATAAAATAAAAATATTAAACATTAGATTAAATATAAACATAAATTTTAAAACAAATGTTAAAAAATACTATTATCTAAAATTAAAATGCATAAGCATAACATGTAAAACATATTCAAATGAAAATTTAAAAATAAATCAAACATATAAAACATATTCAAGCATGTAAAACCCCCAATCTCTTTTTTTTTCCAATTACATTACTTCAAATAGCTAATGTGATGTAAAACATTCTGCACTCTTGATTCTATGAGCTGCCTTTGTACCAAGCCCCTTAAGGCAAACCCAAACAAGTCCATGTTACGCTCTTAAATTCTTAATCCCTACACACAAAAAGAAAATGATTTTATAATTTTAATTTCCATTTAAGAAGATGATTTATTACGATGAATGAATGAACAAATACTCATTGTAAATGAGTGTATTCTAGAAATGGAGAGATTTGGTGGAAAAGGACATTGTGCAAAGTGGATTTGGAAAAAGTATATGGCTTCATGGATTGGGCTTTATTGGATTATGTGAGATTGGTTTTGGGGACAAGTGGAGAAACTGGATAAGAGGATGCCTGCATTCATGCCACTATTCTATTGTTACTAATGGATTGGTTAAGGACTTTTCCCCACTAAATGAGGACTACTGGTAATGCCATCTTCTATCTCCTTTTCTGTTTATCGTAATACCCTATGTCCTTAGCAAACTGATCACTTGGTAGTGTAAATTTCCTTTTAGTCTCATGCTAGTAGAGAAGGAACTGTTCAGTAAGCAATACTGACGTTTTATATAAATAATCATAGGCGACCCTTTGATGGTTATGCAAACTTCTCACATTTCCGCACAGGATACTCACTGAATCCATCTTTAATCTATATTTCAGATAAGCTGACAACATTCCGGGTATCATTTTAATGCCGAAGTACTAAAAGAAAATCCCCTTGCAATTTAATAAGCCCACGTTAATTACTTGAGACATTTTCGAACAAGCGCTGCATAATTGCATTGCCACCAAAATCCAGTCACTCCTACCGAGCAAATACTCTAACTTTTCCAAATATAAATAAACAGTGCAGACACTATTTAGTATTTACTGGTCATCAAGCAGCCTTATGAGTTATGTCATGTCATGGTAAACTCAAACAAGAATCAAGACCAATTCAACGTTCGCTAGCTCTAAAGTCCAAAATCGAATTATAAGACCGTCAACACTCAACCTAATTAACTAAACCGACGACTACACTCCCAAAGTCCAGCAATTAATGAAAATGGCAATAACTAATAATAAAGAAACACTAAAAGAGAACTACTCCCCATCATTCATAACACATAGAAACAAAACCCACCAACCTGAAGAGCTGTCCCTGTTTGATTCAGAACTTCCCGCGGCCTCTCCGCTTCCCAATTCACGACCACTGCCACCTTCTCCCACAATCTCCGTGCCCAAAGTAACAGAGTCCTCACCGGAACTATCATCAGAACTCCGGTGATGCTCCCCCGGCTCTGCCATCGCCGACCACCGCCGATTAGCTGGTGCAGTCACTGTACTTCAGATCCAGATCTAAGGAACCTCCCAGAAAGACGTTAGGCAGACGGATTGAAAGAAGCAAAGCACAGATTCTCCTCCTTTCCCTCTTTGTCAGTAAAAAACAAACAGAAACTAAAACCCTAGAAGTTAGAATTTTAAAAAACAAAAGGAAAGAAAAAGAAAAGGAAACTGTTTCACATGGCAAATTGTTTGAACTCGAATCCAAATAGAGTAGGTTGCTCCGTTGCTGGAGAGTGGAGAGTGGCGAGTCTAGAGACCAGAGAGAGAGAGTTCTTGGGCTGATTTTGATTTTTGAGGATTCCAGTGCGACGGTTGACAGGTGGTCCTCACGTAGGCACGTTCTTTCTGTAACGAAAGAGAGCGTACCGAAATTTTTAAAAAAAGTGCGAATAAGGTGCGTGGGCTTACCGCAATCTTTTCCCGGTATCAAATCTCTGGCCGTTAAAATCATGAAGTGGGGCCCAAGCACCCAGTAGGTCGAGACTTGAGTCTAAAAACCGTCTATAGTTCACGTTGGCGCTGACGACTGGAGTGGGTCGGTTGCCTTCATCCTCACGAAGACACGAGGGACATTAGTGACGTGGCAGATGTTGGTTGGTTCAATTCTAACTTTCAACGAGATAGACAGACTGAATCAAACGGCTAATAATTATTTTATTAAGTGACAACTGTAATAATTCAATCGCAATCATAAGTGATGACGATAGTGAGCATTTATGTAAGGTGAATTTGCTGTTATGTTGGCGGCCTTCCGAACATCCCAGCAATAAAAGCGCTTCACACAGTCTATCTGGAATAGCAATAAAAAAGCGCATCACGAGATCTTTCTCTCCAGGGAGCTCGCGAGACCGGATCTGCTTCCCACACCTGGCGCTCACAGGCGCGTACATCCTATCATGCATTGGAAATATCTTCTTCACGTAAGATGTTCCGAATACACAATGGATGTATATGTGAGGCGCCCATTTGTGAGGAGCAGATCCCATCACGGAATTCGAGCACGCCACCTTCTCATTTCAAACTCACACACATTAGTCTCGACTCAAAAAACTTGTGAAATCTGAATGAGTTCAAATTTGTGCCCCACCCAGTTTTTCCCCACAAACGCCCCACACCTTCACCATCCGCCACCTGTCCCTCCACACGAGAGAAGCTAAACAGCGCGTGCGGGGCTAACGGAACGTCCGTTATCCCTCAAAACACATTTACTCGTTCAAACCCTTCATTCGACAGCTCCCGCCTGACCCTGACTGCTTCTCCCTCGCCAGAGCATCTTCTCCTTCTCCGGCATCGGCACCTACAACGACAATCGCGGTACTCTCCGGTTCATCTTTTCACCTTATTTTTTATTTGTTCTTTTTTTCCTGATATTTTCGTTTTCCAGATATCAGAGAAACCGGCGGCAGAGTCATCTTCTCCTTCTTCGGCACCAGCACCTACAGGCAACCGACGGTACTCTCCATCCCACCTTTCACCTCATTGTTTATTTTTTCTTCTTTTTTTCTGTTGTTTTCGTTTTTCAGATATCAGAGAAATCGGTCTCCTTCTCCGGCACCGGCACCAAGATTCCCAGTACGAAACCAACCCCCTTTAAAGAGGGAAAATGTCGAAGGTGATCTGGGAGACGATGGGTTGGAGCCCTGAAATAGTCGGGGGCTTTTTGTTGTCACCGTAGTCTTGCATTGGAGCTTGGGACTGTTGTCGTATGAATATGGTGGTGGCACAGTAGACGCTGCGGTCGTTCGGCACCGCAAGCTGGGGCTTGAAACTGGTTCTGATTGCAAGCGCGGCGTTGAGGGATTGCTACCGCCAGACAGAAAAAGGTATAACTTTGTACAGCTTCTGGGACTGGGGCTGGGGCTGGTAGTGCGGGCTTGTTGCTGCTTGTCTGCAACTGTGTTTTCTGTGTCTCGAGGGATGGAAGTACAGAAGGCTCTCCGCCAACCATGCCCATTTTGAGAGGTAGAGGCCAAAGAAAGAAACAACGACTGGAGGGGAGATGGTGCTATTCTTCTTCCTCTGTAATGTTTGTGTATGCCGCCCTCTGTTTTGGGGGATTTGTAATTGTAAAGAACAGCTTTGTTGTATTAGCACTGCAGTTGCAGAGGCAAAAGGGTAGGATTGGGTAGAGCCAGAGGAACATAGATGGATAGAGAATGGAGACAAGAAGGGGATGATTGAAGAGATTGCAGCCTTGCAGTTGCAGTGTGACGTTTATCTTCTTCTTCTTGCTTGCTTGCTTCTGATGTTTTGCGCGGTGTTTTTTCTTCTTTCTTTGCTAATGCTCCCTAAAAGGATCACTGCAGCAGAAGCCTTCCCCGTTCTACCAAAAATATTTAAAAGATGGATGGCATGGAAGCCTGCATTCATGTATGTTGATGATGCACGATCCGGTCGGTCCTATCTGTCGGTAACCTTGCCTCTGACGGAGCGGGAGATGTCTGAAACAGGGAGGAAACAAGAGATCCCCGGGGAAGGAACCCGGTGGGAATGCTCCGATGCTCAAGTTAGCACTCTTGAAAAAGCAAAGAAGATGAGAGATTCTGAGACTAGAAGACGCAAAAGTATCACTTACCTTTACTCTGGGGGAAGAGGGTCTTTTATAACCACCCTGGTGCACTCACTCCCAAGCCTCTGCCAGATCAGGTGTAACCGCCTCTGCGGGGGGCAGGCATAACCGCCACTGTCTTCTTTGTCAGGGCCGTCTTTGCAACGACTAAGATGGCGGTAGCAGGTGGCCGTTGGAGTGCGGTTGTCATGTGTCAGATCCCTGATTAGTCAGGCGCGCCGCCTCAGAGTACGGACTTCTTTGTCAGGTACAGTCATTCAGTCATGCGACCTGGAGCCGAGGTGCTAGAGTGGTGCACGAGGTGGTCTTGAGTTCGGATAGGAGTGTGGCCCGAACTGACCCGAGGTGTCGGAGTGTGGTCCGGACTAACCCGAGGTGCCGGAGTGTGGCTTGGACTAACCCGAGGTGTAACTGGAAAGTTACACCCGTCCATCCTCGTGGATTTTCACGAGCATTTCTCTTCCAAAGATTGAATCTAATTTACCGAAGCGGGCCTTCCAATGGAATCCAATTTAGTGGAGTTCCAGAAATGAAGTTAACGACATAGCAAGTTTTTGACTTCACATTCAATGAGGAAGGGGCTTATTACAGATATATAGTTAAGAAAAGTTCGGTGTTTTCAAAGTTGATGGATGTGAGTGTTTGGGTTGTGGTTGAGCAGGCACGGACACCACGTGGCAGCCTCCATGGCCATTTTATCTCTTCAGCTACGTTGGTACCGCGCAGGACTGATGAGTGCGACCAAGAAGTAGAGTCATGTACAGACAAGAAAGATAACTCCACTAGGGAAGAAGATTTGTCCCGAAAACCTTAGCGAGTAACCTCATTCCGATAACCCTAGAAGCCTCATCCGAATTGGACATGGGTTTTTGGCTATAAATAGGTAACCTTCACTCAAGTTAAGGGACATTTGGATCTTCAGACTTTTATCTTGTCTCTCCTGCTCAAACGAGCATTATTATCATCTACTCAGCTCGGCTACTTACCTTTCATTCCATTGACTTGAGCGTCAGAGTGTCTACTCGGGGAACAACTCCTTGGGCCTCTAATCTTTTTCTTGATTTCAAATCTTGGTGCGCGGCTTCTTCCTTCCACCTCGGTTTCACCAGTTGTCAGGATTATCTAACTGCGATCTTGGTTCGAGACACCTCGGATCAGACAACATTAGATTGACGTTGTCTATGGGAAATGCACAAAAAGCCATTTCCCAAATCCCTTTCCGCGCAATCAAGAAAACCATGCCAAGAAATGCATCTGACCGCTCTGGAGCCTGATCCCCATCTCGAGGATCTCGTTCTCGTCATAGCTCTCCACCTCAGAGCCCCAACAACAAGCCATGGTCGATAATGCATAGTTCTAGGCGATGCAACAAAAGGTCGACCAAATTTGCGGTGATGGAGACACTGGGACAGCAAGCCCCCCAGGTTGTTCACCCTACCGCACAAATGCTTACTACGGTCGATCCTCGCACGAAGGACCCCAAAAAGCACTACCCAGACAAGCAAAAGGTTCGGTCCGACCAAGAAAGATAGCAATCATCAAGAAGACTAGACTCTCCGGTCCGGTCTTGCGCACGCGATGTTCACGGCAACTCACACCATTCCACCCGAGTTCTAGCAAAAGAATGGCTCAGCCAGCGTCTGCCACAACCGCCGATCTCAATAGCCGAGTCTAGTTCGATCCGAGATCGACCTAGAATACCAAAGGGAGAAAGGTCCTTAGGCGCAGTCCCATTCGACAAAGATGCCGAGATCAAGGAATTGAGAAGTACGGTGGAGCCTCGGACCTCAATGACCACGTCGAAGGGTTCAGGGCAGTGATGATGTTGTACAGCTCTTCTAAAGGATTGAAGTGTAAGGCCTTCGTCGCCACCCTCCACGAAATTGCCAAGACCTGGTACGCCTCCCTTCATTCGCGGTCCATATCTTCTTGGAAACAGCTGAAGACCCAATTATTGGTGCAATTCACGACCAACCAAAGACATTAGAAGACCTCGGCTAGTCTCATGCAAGTGGGGCAAAGGAAGGGGAAAACTCTAAGAGAATACTTGGCGAGGTTTAACGCCGAGGCCCTACAAGTTCAAGTTATTGACCAGTCTGTAGCGGTGACAATCATTATGAGTGGCTTGCGATCCTCTGCATTCAACATCTCTTTACAGGAGAACCCTCCTCCCAACCTAACGGTGCTCATAAAGCATGCACAAAAGTACATGAACGTCGAGGAAGCCCAAGCACTGTAGAGGAACGAGGAAGAGTAGCAAGACCTAAAGAGAAGAGACCATGACAAGCGCAGGTTGGACTGAGAGAGCAAAAGACAAAACTGACGATCTGATCAAAGACCGATGACCTCGCCTCCAACGTACAGGAACTTCACTCCTCTGAACACACCTCAGTCCAAAATACTAATGCAGATCCACGGCCGTAGCTTCGTCAGATGGCTCGTAAAGATGAAGTCAAAGAATAACAAAAGAAGTCAAGACAAATATTGCGACTTCCATCGAGACCACGACCATGAGACGGAGAGCTACCACGACCTGCACTACCACCTCGAAGACCTAGTCAGGTGCGGATACCTTGGTGGGTTCATGGACATTAAAGAGCATAAGCCGAAGGAAGCACGTCGGCCTGACGTAACTCCAGCCCGAGCTCCCCTAGTGGGAGTCGTTGCGGTCATCTCAGGCGGAATGGCTTCTGGGGGAAAGTAGCTCTGCCCACAAGGCATATCCATGGTTACACCAGATCAAAGACAGGGAGTAGAAAAAGCAACAGCA